TGTGTGATTGGAATTGTAATCTATAAAACATTCAATCTAGTGGAACCTAGCTGGAATTTGGCTGGAAACTTGACGTAGCCCTGGGATTGGGTGAACCAGTATAAATCTTGGTTGTATCTTTCTAAACATTTCTCTCTTTAATTCTGCCACTGTCTTTTCTTTGATTGTTTGCTTTGTTTGATTCAAGAATTGGTCAAAACTCTTAATCTTTGAAATAGATAATATGTAATTCTCGAAAGTCTTTCAAATATCAATTCACCCCCCTCCCTCTTGATCTCAACCTCCTTTTCTAACAATTGGTATCAAGAGCAAGGTTCTTGAAATTTACTCAAGTCTTTCGATCCAAATTGCTGGAAATAATTTTTCTGAGGGTGCTTGTATTGATAGACCTCCACTGTTTTGTGGTACAGATTACTCATTTTGGAAGATAAGAATGAAGATCTTTATTGAATCTGTTGATATAAATGTTTGGAATATTATTGAACAAGGAACTTATGTTTTTAACAGAAAATGGTCTAGTTTAAATGATTGTGAAAAGAAACTAATCCAAGATGATTGTACTGCTAAGAATATCATCACATCTACACTTAATAGAAATGATTTTTTTCAGGATATCTCATTGTCAAACTGCTGCACAGATGTGGAAAACTCTTGAAATGGCTTATGAAGAAACAACAGAGATATGTTTGATGGTCAATTTGGATTCTCCCATGACCAGTGTAAGTTCTGATTCAACAACCACTATGAATTACAGTTCATTACAAGATGCTATTTATGAAATGCATGCAGTAGCTAAGAAGTTAGAAATTGAAAACAAAAGATTAAAAAGCATGAATAGTTTATTAGAAAACAAAATCACTCTTCTTGAAAAGAAAATTGTTGATGAAGAAACTAAGAATGAAAATCTAGAAATAGGTAATAATTCTGATTGCTTGTGTAATGATAAAGATTGTAAAAATTGTCCTGAGTTACAAAAGAAATTAACATATTTAATAAAAACTGCATCTAAACTTGCACAAGGAAAAACCAGTCTTGATGTTATACTTGATTCTCAAAAGTTGGTTATTAATCGTGGTGGTATTGGTTTTACACCTCTTGTTGGAAAGAAAACTAGAGCATTTAAAAACTATTTTGCATATAGTAAATCTATTTCGTCACCATTTATTACATGCTTTTATTGTATGAAAAAAGGTCATTCTATGAAATTTTGTAGAATCAAGAAACATGCTATACCAAGAGGTAGAATGAAGTGGATTCCCAAGAATTCATTTCAAATAACCTGATTGGACCTAATGATTATAAAAAAGGGTACCAGATATATGTTAAATCTGTTTTGCAGGAACAAAATCTGGAAGTTCTTTGGTACCCAATCAACAAATGGTGTTTCTGGATTCATGAACTGTGTATTTTAATTGATATAAAACTGTTTTAATCGATTAATTTCACTTACAGAGTATACCAGAAAAGTTGTTCGTACAATTTTAATCGATTAAACTATGAATTAATCGATTAAAATGCTCTCAAGATATTTAGTATGATTGTTTTAATCGATTAAAAAGGATTTACATCAGTTAAAATCATTAAAAAACCAAATTTAATCGATTATTTCGCGATTTGATCGATTATTATTCTGATATGTTCTTTCCAGAACAAGATTAATCGATTCATATAACATATTAATCGATTAATATTCTACTTTCAGTGCATAATTAATTGATTGTTTCAATTCTATATCAGTTATACTGCAACTATACTAATTTCTCTTTCAGGCACAACAAACTGAAGATCTATGGTACCTTGACAACGACTGTTCTAAACATATGACACGTGATATTACAAAGTTTTACAATCTAAAACCAAAGAATGGTGGGACTGTTGTCTATAACAAAGGAATAATTCTTGGAATATGTGACATCAAATGCACAGAATCAGGTATTATTAACAATGTATTATATGTTGAGGGTTTAAAACATAATTTGATCAGTATTAGCCAGCTGTGTGATAAAGGACACAAAGTTATCTTTGGTCAAGATCAATGTCAAATTATCAAATCAGATTCAGAACAGGTATTTATCACTGGTAAGAGAATCAACAATATTTACATGTTAGATACTAATTCTGCTAAAAATTGTTGTTTAATTTCTAAAGAGAATGATTCCTGGTTGTGGCATAGGATGTTAGCTCATATTCATATGAATCAGCTTAATAAATTGATTTCTAAATATCTTGTAATTGGCTTACCTAAACTTAGGTTTGTGAAAGACAAGTATGTGATGCATGTCAAAAGGGCAAGCAAGTAAAGAATTCCTTTTCGCATAAAAATATTGTTTCAACATCAAGACCTCTTGAAAAAAAGACATGATCTTTCTTTGCAAAACACAATTGAAGTAGAAATATTTTATTGTTAGGGGATTGATTTTGTTGGCCTTCTACCACCTTCATCTAGTGGTTGTAAACTATGTCTCGAAATAGGTGGAAGCTACTTTAATTCACTAGAACAATGTTTAAGTTTTTAAAACAGAATATCTGTTGTAGGTGTGGAACACCAAGAGTTCTTATCAGTGTTGATGGTACCTATTTTTGTAATAATAAGTTAAAAAAAATTATTGTTGGAACACTATAATGTGAGACATAAAGTTGCAACACCATATTATCCTTAAACAAATGTTCAAACAAAGGTTTCTGATATGATTGAAGAAAATTATGGAAAATACAATTGTTAGTTCTAGAAAGAATTTAATATTGAAATTTGATGATACTTTTTAGGCGTATAGGACATCTTTCAAGACATCAATTAGTTTGTCTCCATTTTAGTTAATCTATGGGAAGTCCAACCATTTACTAGTAGAAGAAAGAAATGAACATACGTGCATTTTTTTCTCAATCAAAATTTCTTTTGCTCAAGCGAAATTGGATGATTTAGTGATGGGAATCTTAGGTCGTATATTTCTTATTTACCCACACCGTAAAACCCAAATCTTTGAACCCCCTCATAATTTTCTTACGATTTTCTCCCCTTACCTACTGAAATCTTAACAATTTTCTCCTCTTGTATATATTTCTTCTCTCCACTAAGTTGAAGTTTGTATCAATTTCTCAAAGTTTTCCCTTGATGAAGAAGTAAGAATCTTTGAAGTCTTGAAGATTTGATGAAGTCAAAAGAAGTCATGAAATAGGAGATGTATTGTTAAGTCCATTAGTGAGTCTGCATCTTATTGAGTAGGTATATTCATCTATCCATTTCTATAGTATGAGTTTCTATCATTTACAAAAGTTTAAAGTGCCTCAAATTTTTTTAATCTGTTAAAAATCATTTTAATCGATTAATATGTTCTTAAGGTTCGGTTTTAATTGATAAGTTTTCGAAATAATTGATTAAAATCACTTAAAAAACTTGAAAACATCTTCTATCACATTTTTAACTGATATGTTTTTGAAATAATCGATTAAAACCACTTAAATCAATTGAAAACATTTTCTGTCACAATTTTAATCGATATATCTTTGAATTATTTGATTAATTTCATGTAAAATGTTTTGGAAAACCTTCTATCAGTATTTTAACTCATATATCTTTGAATTATTCGATTAAAATCACTTAAGATGTTTTGGAAAACCTTCTGTCAGTATTTTAACTCATATATCTTTGAATTAATCGATTAAAATCACTTAAGAAGTTTTGAAAAATCTTCAGTCAGATATTTTAATTGACATATCTTCGAATTAATCGATTAAAATCTCTTAAGAAGTTTTAGAAAACTTACTACTAGAATTTTAATTGATATAACTTTGAATTAATCGATTAAAAACACTTAAACAATTTTTGTATCACTATTTTAATCAATTATAGCTCGTTTTTATCAATAAAAATGCCTCGGGAAAAATTTGTAGAACCTTTTAATTGATTAAAAGGAATTTTCATAAGTTAAATTCATTTAAGCTAGGTTGTTTTAATCAATTAAAGAGCGAATTAATCGATTAATTGAATGAGTTAGTTAGAAAAATCTCTATATAAACAAATTTTCTCCAACATTTGAAAATACCCTTTTTTGATAAATAATTCAAGCAACCTTAAGAGATCTTCTTCAAGAGAGAAGTGTGCTCTTTTGATAGGAATTCTTCAGAAATCTTTCTTGAGACTCTTTGTTCTTGATTTGTGAAGAAACTCATTATGTAGATGGATTCTTGCATCTTCATAACGGTTTGATTATTCTAGTTTCCTCTACTCTTTCAAATTTTTGTCAATTCTTTGTATTCTTGGTGTGTGGAAGTGTAGGCATAGGTTTAGCAATTGGAATTTGGTTGCAGTCAAGGTTCAAAGACCTGGGTCTTAGTTCTTGGTGTATATTGTGTGTTTGTGTCAGCACCTAATTTCATCCAGGAGATAAAATAAGATAATAATAATAATAATAATAATAATAATAATAATAATAATAATAATAATAATAATAATAATAATAATAAATAGTAGGGTTTGTTTAAAATATATATATATATATATATATATATATAAAATAAAAGAAAAAGGAAAAAAGTAGTTCCATTTTTCTTAATACTTTATTTTTAAAATTCAAAAAAAAAGGAAAAAGAAAAATATATGATATAATTTCTCTTGTTAACATCTTACATTTAAAAAATAATAATAATAAATTTCATTTTTTAACCGTTTCCATTTCCTAAATAATATATATATATATATATATATTACTTTTATTAGTGTTATCTTTTTAAATAAATGGAAAAAAGAAGGTAATTATTTTTTTAATTTTTTAATGAAAAAAAAAAGAAAAGAAAAGAGTAACAAATATATAAAAGTGAGATTAGATTTTTATTAAGGCCCAGCCCATGAGATGTTTTTAACCTAAATGTTAGGTTTAAATGGAGGCACGACACCAAAAGTGGGGCACCACTTTCCCTTCACGTGGCAATTCCTTACTCACATCCTTCACCTCCCGCACCTCTGCTCCTCACCTTCACTCTCCATTTCTAGCCACTCACCCATGCACAAATCCCATCTTCCCCTCACCACAAATCAATATCTCCCAAATCACTCACGCCTTGCACTGGGGGCCCATCCACCTCCTCACTCACCCCCACCTCACACATTCTCCTCTCCTCCCCAGATCTCACTCTGCCTCACTTTTTTTCCATCTCTTTCGGCAAAACCCGCAAGGCCCCACTCTCCAGCCCTCACTCTGCACCTTCCCTCAGCTGTCGTGCCGCTAACCTCCACCCATCACCTTCCATCCCATCCGTTTCTCTCCCATTTATCTTCAGCCCTAGATCCGCACATCGCAGCTTCCACCACCACGCTCGTCATGTGCACCACCATCGGCACTGTGAGCCACGCATGCAGTCGTGCCTCGTCCCCTCCATCTCACACTCACTCAACACCCTCACCAAACCCCAATCACAGCCCAAACCTCGGTGAAATCCCTTCGAAAGTCGTAGACAACCCTCTAACCATTTGCTAAAGGCGAGACTACCTTCTCGCTTGGCAAGATGGTCGTTTTGCCACATCGCAAAGGGCGAGACCGCCGTCTCGACATTCCAAATGGCGGTCCCAAACTTCAAAAATTCGAGATCGTCGTCCCGAATCCCAAACAGCGGTCCCGACCAAAAATTAAATTTTCTAAATAAAGGGGCTTTTGGGTCAATTCTAAAGCACTCCATTCATGCATCCTCTCATACATTTCCATACATCTTTTAGTGTCTCTAAACAATATGCAATAAGGAGAATCTTCCAGGAACCGAAAGAGAGGTTGGGGACCCGACCCAAGCGCTCCCGCACCCCAGGCTCCTCCAGACCCTACCCAGTTCATGCAACATCAGGCCAGGCTAGATCACATCAGGGGCTACTCTTGGCACCCCATGCTGCGCTTAGACTACGGTATCCTGGCCGATTTCGGTTGGGAAGAGGATGTGCGGGGATACATCCATAGCATCGGTTGGGACTTCCTCCTCCAGGACCCACCGACCCTCATCTACAAGCAAGCCATGATGGAGTTCCTCGCCTCTGTCACGATGATCGACATGCCTACGATATTCCCGAGTGTCCCTCCGCCAAGGATGGTCTCGTACTACATGAACGGGACCTACCGGACGATGACGTTGGACGAGTTCAACGTCAACATGGGCTTCAACCATCCCGTGGACACCCTGACGTCGGAATATCAGGGAGCTATTTGTGAGCAATTGGCTGCCCTCACAACCGGTGAGATATGGGAGGATCTCACCGGGTCATAGATTCTACCATCCTTGATGAAAGGGTTGGCGCTCAACCCTCCTCTCCGCATCTGCCACAAGCTGTTGGCGAGGACGATCCATGCACGAAAGGAGATTCAAGGGAAAATCACTCAGTCCGACCTCTTCGTGTTGCACTGCATGCTACACGAACGCTGGTGTAATCCCGACTACTTCATTTTTAGGGCTCTTAAGGACTTCGGGAGTTGTCCTGTTGGTGTCATCCTCATGACTCCCCTCATCACCCCACTGGCCGAGAGATGGGGATGCGCCAATAGGGAGGACATTCCCTCCATCCTACGAACTGAGCTTATCAGTGGGTTCATGCTCGTCAACATGGGCATGCTTGTAGACCCCTAATTTTGTCTGGCCTCTCAATAAAGACCAGAAGACTTTCTCTATGAAGATGAAGCTTCGGTGGACGTCTATCGGCATCAATCGGCTTCCGTCTGAAGAAAGGAAAGCTTCCCGGGATCCCAGAACACAAAATTTGGCCAAAACACTCGAGACAGCCGTCCTAGAAGCCAGGACAGCCGTCCTAGAAGCCAGGACAGCCGTCCCAGGCAGACCAGACGGTCGTCCCACATGCTAGACGGCCGTCTCACCCAAATTTAACACTTGGGACGGCCGTCCCAGATCCCAGACGGCCGTCCCGAGCTACCAGGCTGAAAAAACTATAAATAGGAGCTCATTTGAGCGTTTTTAGACACACGTCAATCTTCTCTTCTCTTCTCTCTCTCTCTTTCAAATGATCTCTCCGATTGCCTATAAGGTAACAATCGGTTAAGGAAGTTTCTTCCGACATTCGATTCTTCTTAGAGTTTTAGGAGAGTCGGTCCTGTATTCGGGGAGGAAAGTCCTTATAGTGCGGGGGATTGCCAAAACGCATCCTCACAGTTGAAGAGTTATAATAAAAAGCTTGCTACAGAGGTTCTTTTCACTTCTCTTCTCCTTTATTGCTTTATTTACTGCTTTGTGTATGCAATAGGAAATAAAATCATGTAGATAATCATTTTTAAATATCGCATAATAAAATAGGGTAATTGCGTAATTTCTCTTAATCTTTACTTTATGAATTAATCCGTCATAGGGAACCCGAAAGGGGCGTCGTGGGGGTGCTAACACCTTCCCCACGCGTAACTAACTCCCTTACCTAACTCTGGTTATAACGGTCAAGTTTGGTTTTTCTTAAAATCAACGCCTTTTATCCTTTTCCAATGTTTACGGTCAAAACATTGGTGGTGACTCCATAAGAACCCTTCTGCGAAAACCTTGCTTTTATTAGAGGATAATTCAGTTGTTGAGCACCTCGGAAGCAATGAACACATTTTAAAATAAAACGCGAGTCTAAACTGTTGAACATTCAAGGACTTGATGTTGCACTTGATGGACATAAAGATTGTTGATTTTGATGATGATTCAAGAACACAAAGACTTAGAGTGTTGTAGACTTGTTTTGTATTGTAATAACTCTGTTTTGATTAGATTGAGTCTGTAATATTAGAGTTTGAGATAGCCGATACATAGTCTGCACCTTAGAAGCTTCAAAAAGCTCAAATTTATCAACCAGGCTCGGCTTTAATCGATTAAATAGGGAAATAATTGATTAACACAGTGAGAAAAACCATTTTCTGTATCTGTTCACTGTTTTAATCGATTAACACACATGTTAATCAATTAACAGGCCTGTTAATCGATTAACAGCCATTTTAATCGATTAAAACAGAGAGTTTTGGGGTTCTGTTGATTTTGGCTCTGTAATAATCGATTAACACTTCATTTAATCGATTATTTCAGTCATATTTTGATTTTTAACTTCAAATCAACCTTATTTTCGAAAACCCTATTTCCAAGAACCCTAATTCTGAAATTCCCAATTCCCAAACCCTAATTTCTCTACTTAAGCTTCTTTATGGCACTCAGAAAATAGAACAACCTTTTTCATACAAAAGTTAAGTGTTGTGAGTGCCATAGAACTGTTTGTTGCAAAAAAAAGGGGCTTTTGGAACCTGGTGTGGGCTAGAAGCGATAAGAATCACTAAGTGGAGTTCTTAGTGGATTGTGTGTTGTGGCGTCTCTAGGGAAAGCTGTTCATCATCTCTTGTGGATTTCAAGAGAGGTGTTTTCTTATCTTTATCTTTTCAATTGTAATTTGTTTGTAACAACTTAATTATAATGACAGCGCTAATCCTCTGTTTGAGTGATTAGCAACTGGACGTAGGGTCTTTTGATCCGAACCAATATAAATTTCTTGTGTAGGATTCTCTATCTCTTCTCTATTTACATTTACACAGTTTTTAATCAGTAAAATTTGGGGAAAATTTTGAAAACCTAATTTTTGTTAAGAAACCAATTCACCCCCTCTTGGTTTTTGTCCAACCATCGCGAACATTTCATTGCTGCGATTCTAACAAGTGGTATCGAGCTTGCTTTGATAGTCATTCAAACTTTTCGAAAATGGCCGGACAAAATCAAACTTTTGCCAGAAGGTGCGTCTATCAATAGACCCCCACTTTTTGCGGGTCAAAATTATCCTTTTTGGAAGGTAAGAATGCAAATCTTTTTAGAGTCTGTTGATAGAGGCGTTTGGGATGCTATTTTAAACGGTCCATCTGTTCCTAAAGTTACAGAGAACGGTGTTGACGTTCTTAAACCTTTTTCTAGATGGACTGCAGAAGAAAACAGAAAAGCACAATTTGATGTTAGGGCTAGAAATATAATTTCATCTGCTCTAACCCTTGACGAGTTTTACATGATTTCTGTTTGTAAAAGTGCTCAGGAAATGTGGGAAATGCTTAGAGTGACCCACGAAGGTACCGACGACGTTAAAAGAGCACGTAAAAATTCCTTAATCCAAGAATACGAGATGTTCCGAATGCAACAAGGCGAAACGATATTTGACGTACAAAAGCGTTTCACTCATATTGTGAACCATCTCACCGGACTAGGTAAAATCTTTGACGTTGATGAATTAAATGTTAAAATTTTGAAATCTTTGGATAAGAAATGGCAACCGAAGGTGACGGCCATCTCGGAGTCACAAAACCTTGCCACAATGTCAATGGCGGCGCTATTTGGAAAGCTAAGAGAGCATGAGCTTGAGCTTGATAGGCTAAACGATGAAAAAGGGCAATATCAAAAGAAGAATTTAGCCTTCAAAACCGAAATTTCCAAAGGTAAGAATAAGAAGGAAGAAGAAGACCCAGAAAATGAAGAAGAAGAGTTGAGTCTAATGATAAAGAAGTTCACCAAATTCATGAAAGCTAAAGGAAGACATCCATTCAAAGGTAAAGGAAAGGTAAGAGAAAGTACTTCCATAAATATAAAATGCTATGGTTGTGGTGTGTAGACCCCAAATCTTGCCCGGCCTCAGAATAAAGTCAGAAAGCTTCCTATTTGAAGACGGTCAAAGCCTAACAAGCCACTAGGAGAGACTATTAGGCCCCCGTACCAAGATAGGAAGGTTTTTTGGCCCAAAAAATAAGTTTTCTCGCCTCGAAGGGACGAGACCGCCTTCTGAACGACCCAGACCGCCGTCTCGCCTTGCGTTGAAGGGGACTCTTGGGTCATTCCTCGCTCAAGCGACTGGTGTACTCGCTTGAGCGACGGACGCTTCAAACAAAGAGGACTCCCAGGTCAAGTCTCGCTCAAGCGACTGATGTACTCGCTTGAGCGACAGGTGCTTCAAACAAAGGGGACTTCCGGGTCGAGTCTCGCTCAAGCGGCCGATGTACTCGCTTGAGCGACGGATGCCTCAAACAAAGGGGACTCTCGGGTCATGCCTCGCTCAGCGGCCGGAATACTCGCTTGAGCGAGCGAAGGACGAGACGACGGTCCCGTTTTTCCAGACGGCGGTCTCAATTTCTGGCATGGTCGAGACGGCGGTCTCGACTTTCCAGACGGCGGTCTCAACCCCTGTCAGAGGAGACAGCGGTCTGGACCCTGACAGCGCGAAAAACTATAAATAGGGGCTTCTCCCCCCTCATTTCCACACAGAAACACACCAAGAAGCATTAGCTCTCCCTTCTCTCTAGATTTTCTCTCTCTAAGAATCCCTCCGAGGCATTTTCGGAGTTTCTGAGCGTCTTAGAGTGAGTTCTTGAGCGTTCTAGATCTTCTTTAGAATCCCTCCGAGGCATTTCGGAGTTTCGAGAGTTTGTAGAGTGAAGGGCTGCCAAAACGCACCCACTTTATTGAGAGTTAATACAAAAAGCTTGCTTCGAAGGTGCAA